GGCTCAGTCAGTTAAGCATCCGACTTCCACTCAGGTCATGATCTTGCAATCCATGAGTTCAAGTTGAACACGGGCCGGAGCCTGGAGCCTGCTTTGGATTCTGTGTCTCCCTTGCTCTCTGCCCCTCCCCCACTCGTGCACGTGCTTTCTCTCTCTCAATAAATAAACATTGAAAAGAAAATTCAATGAAGACTTTTTTTCTTCTCACGTTCTATTTCTGTACAAGAATGTTCTGAGGTTTAGTTATGCTTTGTACAGTGATCACCTATATTCATTTCCAGATGTATCGATTTGTCCCCAGGTCCCACAGGACACAAATGGGCCTGAAACTCCTATGGAGGAAATGAGTCCCCTGGATGCGGCACAGGAGTGCCTGGGTACCCAGCTCCCATCTATGGAAGACAGAATGGAATGTGCATCTCCAGAGCCACGCCCACTGCAAGATAATGGTGAGGTCCAGAAGGAGGATGACGTTTGGGAGCGGGAAGGGTCTCCTTGCTGAAAAGCTATGAAATCTCATCCATTGCAACCTTACTGAATTCGTCTGAGGGAAGGTCAGCCAGTGTTGGGTGATGCTATTAAAGGAGTTAAGCAGCCAGGTAATAATGTAAGAAATCATTGAATACAAGATTTTTGATGGATATTTTGCAATGGAATTATGTCCCTGTGGATAAATCAGAGGATAAATCAGTAGGGATGCTGAGCACTCGTCCGTGTGCCCATTGGTCTGATTTCTAAAGCCTCTGCCCCAGTTTTTGTCACACATGATGTTTAAGACTTGGATTGCTACTCAGAAATTCTGAAGAAAATGGAATTTCTGGTCTATGCCCTTAGCATTTCAAGGACTGTTAATAGGATAAGGGGGGCAAGAGCACAGGCTGACTGTTCTGGAGCAACGTCTTTTCCAGAATCTCCAGTATAATCAACACGTTCTACGTCTTGTGAAGTCCTAACAACTCCCCAATTATCCTGCACCTACCAATACCCTGCTTGCTTCTGGAGCTCATGTTCTGGTTCTCATTCACATTGCCCTATATTCCTTTCTTCCCCCAAGTTCATCCTGCTTCACCCTCCTTTCCTACTCATGGCTCCACAGCATGACACAAAATGTATTCGCGTGGAAAGAAGTACTGTCCATATGGTGGTCTTTTCAGTCGCATTTTGAGACATTGAAACATAAGCCCCAAATGTTGCTGTAACAGTTAACTTGACTTAATAGGACAAAACATGGTATAGTCTGGGGCTTTTTAAAAAAAGATCTATTGGGGCGCCTGGGTGGCGCAGTCGGTTAAGCGTCCGACTTCAGCCAGGTCACGATCTCACGGTCCGTGAGTTCGAGTCCCGCGTCAGGCTCTGGGCTGATGGCTCGGAGCCTGGAGCCTGTTTCCGATTCTGTGTCTCCCTCTCTCTCTGCCCCTCCCCCGTTCATGCTCTGTCTCTGTCTGTCCCATAAATAAATAAAAACGTTGAAAAAAAAAAAAAAAGATCTATTACTGGGGCACCTGACTGGCTCAGTCCGTACAGCACAAAACTCTTTGATCTCGGGATTGTGAGTTCAAGCCCCACGTAGTGTGTAGAGATTACTTAAAAAATAAAGTTTTTAAAAAAATCTATTACTGTATTGCTGAGGCTTCTCTAGCCAAAACAAATCATCTTTTATAGTTAATAAATAATAACATCGATTTGTTTCTTGTTTTACATAAAACAGTACTTTAAGGCTAATCCCAGATACTGCTCTGGAAAGTCACATCTCTTTACTAGATCAGAACTTTTTGTTCCTAGCTTGGGTTCTTCATTTACCTTCTGTTTCTCCAAGGCTGGGCTCCCTAACCAAACCTGTGTTCCCCCAACTTGTGTGCCCACGCCTCTGTTTCTACCCCAAGCTCTAGTGACTGCTTGGGCAGTGTATATGTTTCAAGTGATATTCCCAAATATTCTAACTGATTTTTTTCTCTATATTTTAGGGTCATTTTTGTGGCTTTCCATGATGTCTCAAAGGGTGGGTGATGATAACCCCAGTAGCTTAGACACTAATGAACCAGAAATGGAACCAGAAAACATGAGAGAGAAGTTCTTCAGGAACTTAGCAGTGTTGCTGGAAAACAAAAGTAATAATACCAAGATATTTTCCAAAGCAAAGTACTGTCAGTTAATACAGGAAGTGAAAGAGGCTAAAGCAAAGGCAAGAAAGGAGTCTGTTGATTACCGTCGCTTAGCGAGGTTTGATGTGATCCTTGTGCAAGGAAATGAGAAGCTGATTGAGGCTATAAATGGGGATACAGATAAAGTTCGGTATTACTTACACAGTGAGGAGTTATTTGACATTCTGCACAACACACATCTCAGCATTGGGCATGGAGGACGTACCCGCATGGAAAAGGAGCTACAAGCAAAATACAAAAACATCACAAAAGAAGTTATAATGCTGTACCTGACCCTCTGCGGACCATGCCAACAGAAACATTCGAAACTCAAAAAAGTTATAACATCAAAACCAATTAAGGAAGTTAGTTCAAGATGCCAGGTGGATATTATAGACATGCAATTGAATCCTGATGGGGAGTATAAGTTTATTATGCATTATCAAGACCTTCGTACAAAGTTGAGTTTTTTGCGGTCACTAAAATCTAAAAGGCCTAAGGAAGTGGCACATGCTCTTTTAGATATTTTTACAATTATTGGAGCTCCCAGTGTCCTACAATCTGACAATGGGAGGGAGTTTTCAAGCCAGATTGTCTATGAACTCAGTAATATTTGGCCAGAGTTGAAAATTGTCCATGGGAAGCCTCAGCCCTGTCAAAGCCAAAGTTCTATGAACCAAATTAATGATGATATCCAAAATAGGATTATCTCCTGGATGCAAACTAACAATTCATCACACTGGGCTGAGTTTTTGTGGTTCATTCAGATGATCCAAAATCAGCCCTATCACAGAGGTATGCAACCAAATCCATTTGAAGGCACATTTAGCTCTGAAGCTAAGCCAGGCCTCTGTCATCCTCAGTTAACCGAAGAACTCATTGCCAGCCCAAATCCAGAAAGTGAATTTGAACCAGCTGACAAAGAATTAGAGAATCCACCAGGAGCACAGTATGAAGAAAATGTTGAGACTGGAACCGATAGTAGTGATATTGAAGAGAATCTTTCTATTACTCCTACGGTGGCCATGAAAAACCCTCCTGAAAGCAGATTAAAATTTTTATCCTGTGTAGTTTGTAAAAAAGAATGCTCAGGTACTAATAGTTGCATATCATGTGATGCAAGTGTCCATGCAGTCTGCGGGGTGCCCTCCCCACATGGGACTGCGGGCTACCATCACAGAATAACGTGCAGTCTTTGCTACGAGACCACCACAATGAAAAGGAAACATGATGAGATCCAAAGAAGTTTGACTGGTCAACCTTCCAAAATGCTAAAGCCTTCAGAGACACCATTTTCATCAGACAAAGTAGGGGATTGGGTAAGAGTTTGAGTATCTGTTGTAGATGAAAGCAGGGAAAGAGCTTCATTACTCTTCACTGTGCTCATGATGAGTGAGAATGTTTGGCAGGGTATATACTAAATAAAGCACAGGGTGGTCAACTTGGATTTGTTTTCTCCAGAGAAAAGCCCATTACTTCTAATTCCTATCTCCCCCCCCGCCCCCCACCACCACCCTTTTATCAGGTTGGAAGTTATAACCTTGAATGCTGCTTTATTTGTTGTGTGGGGTGATGACAGTCTCTCACTCTGTCCTGGTGTGAGGAATTCCTTGGGGGGATAAGGAAGCTAAGATCTAGGGGGTAAGTGGTGTGTGTGAGGGTGTGTTTCTACAGGAGGATGAACATGAGAAAAGCTGAACTTAATGTTACTTTGGGTGGGGAGCTGAGCCAAGAAAGGGCATCTTGGGTCAAGTGAAGTAATTAGGAAGGACAAGAGATGACAAGTTGGATTGTGAGATATGGGTTTGTGTTGAGAAAAAGTTCAGTTTTCAGATATAAATGGAGAACATGAGATAAGGCCAAAGAGCTTTATTTTAAATCCGTAGGTTTGATAGAGTTAATGTGTGTTCAGGGTTGAGTTTTGAAATATGGGGGCTACACCTGATTTGGGCCAGTGGTACTGGAGTGTGATCTTCGGATCAGCGCTGGTCTGCAAACTTTATACCAGTCCACAGTAGGGCAAGTGTACTAATCAAGAGTATTTAGAAACTAGCCACAATTTGACATTGCCGTAGTGCCCAGCACGTGATTACTTGACTTGCGTTTCCGAGTAGAATGCTGGGAGGTAGGGATGTTGACTCCTAGGGCAAGTCGTGTGCTGGCATTGTATAGCACTCAAGCACAGTTACAGTGCGTGATATTTTATGGCTAGTTTGTCTGCTGTAACTCAGAAAAAATGTAAGCATTTATTTATCTTTATAACTTCATTTTAAAACCATTTTTAAATTTGTAATCAAACCTAGTTTTTAATTTGTTTAACATTATTAGACAAAGGAGGAAAGTAACATTTGTGTTTATTTTTAATCCTGATTTTCAGATGGCAAAACGAGCTTCACTGGACTTGTTTGTCAAGAAGAAACATAGCCTTTCTGAATCTGGGGGCAGGAGTAGAAGAAACGGTAAAGGTGGAAGTCAGCCTGAGGAAGCGAAAGGCAGAAGAGTTCACACAGGTTTCACCCGGAAATATGACCCCTCGTACATTGAGTTTGGGTTTATAGCTGTAATTGATGGTGAGGTGCTGAAACCACAATGTATTATTTGTGGAGATATCCTGGCTAATGAAGCGATGAAACCATCAAAACTTAAGCGGCATTTATATTCAAAACATAAAGAAATGAGTTCACAACCAAAAGAATTCTTTGAGAGGAAGAGTAGTGAATTAAAGAGCCCACCAAAGCAGGTGCTTAGTGTTTCTCACATAAACATTAACGCCCTGCGGGCTTCCTACAAGGTGGCGCTGCCTGTGGCCAAGTCCAAGACGCCGTACACGATTGCGGAGACCCTGGTGAAAGACTGCATCAAGGAGGTCTGCCTGGAGATGCTGGGAGAGTCGGCTGCCAAGAAGGTGGCTCAGGTGCCCCTGTCCAATGACACCATCGCCCGGCGCATTCAGGAGCTGGCCAGTGACATGGAAGACCAGCTCATAGAGCAAATAAAAGAAGCAAAGTACTTCTCGCTGCAGCTGGACGAGTGCAGAGATATCGCTAACATGATTGTTCTCTTGGTGTACGTGCGGTTTGAACACGATGATGACATAAAGGAAGAATTCTTCTTTTCAGCCTCTTTGCCAACAAACACAACTAGCTCAGAACTGTGTGAAGCTGTGAAGAATTATGTCGTCAACAAGTGTGGTCTGCAATTTCAGTTTTGTGTAGGCCTGTGTTCTGATGGCGCGGCTTCGATGACAGGGAGACGGTCCGAGGTGGTGGCCCAGATTAAGGAACTTGCGCCGGAGTGTAAAATAACACATTGCTTCATTCATCGAGAGGGTCTGGCCATGAAAAAGATATCAGCTGAACTAAATAGTGTGCTTACTGACACAGTAAAAATTGTGAATTATGTAAAATCTAATGCATTAAATTCGAGATTGTTCTCTTTGTTGTGCGACAATATGGAAGCGGATCACAAGCAGCTGTTACTGCACGCGGAGATGCGGTGGTTATCACGGGGGAAAGTTCTATCAAGAATGTTCGAAATACGAAATGAACTCTTAGTGTTTCTGCAAAGCAAGAAGCCAGTTTGGTCCCAACTTTTCAAAGACGTGAATTGGACAGCCAGACTTGCTTATTTATCTGATATCTTCAGTATTTTTAATGATCTTAACGTTTCCATGCAAGGGAAGAATGCAACATGTTTTTCAATGGCTGATAAGATTGAAGGACAAAAACAAAAGTTAGAAGCTTGGAGAAACAGAGTTTCTGTGAATTGTTATGACATGTTCCATAATTTAACAACAATTATCCATGAAGTAGGTAATGACCTTGATATTGTCTATCTGCGAAAAGTTATCAATGAACATCTTACAAATTTGTTAGATTGTTTTGAATTGTATTTTCCATCGAAAGAAGATCCACGCATAGGGAACTCATGGATCCAAAATCCATTCCTCTCATCAAAAGATAACTTAAATTTAACTGTCACCCTGCAGGATAACTTGTTGAAGCTGGCTGCTGATGAAGGACTGAAAATGAATTTTGAAAATACAGCATCACTTCCTTCATTTTGGATAAAAGTTAAAAATGAGTATCCTGAGCTTGCTGAGGTTGCTTTAAAATCCCTTCTTCTGTTCCCCTCAACGTCCCTGTGCGAGACCGGGTTCTCGACTTTAAGTGTCATTAAGACAAAGCACAGAAACAGTTTGAATATACATTATCCCCTGAGAGTAGCATTGTCATCCATCCAGCCCAGGTTAGACAAATTAACAAGCAAGAAGCAAGCTCACTTATCACATTAAAAACTTTAAGGTATTCAGTCGAAGTGTGCATATACGCATTACGGAATACGAAAGTTATTAAAATAGCAATTCTCTATATAAATTGTATGTACACTTTCAGTTACATGTACAGTTTTTATAATTCTTTTCTTGATATATTTCTTATATTTATTAAAATGTAATTTTAAATCTGTTGTTTCTAACATTAAAAAATTTTGGTCTTGTATTTTGTATGTCTTTGTTATTGTTGTATTTCATTAGGATATGAAGATTGTAGGATGACTTCAGGATGGCAGTGATTTCTCTGAAATGGCAGATTAGATCAGTGAGGGGAAGTGAATTTAAGGCTGGAATTGGAATCGGAGTGTCCTGGGTGGTCAGGTGGGAAGCTAATGTTAAGTTTCCTTTGTTGGTGCATGTCTACACACAGTGTTTACATGGTGAGGACAGGGAAACACTTATCATGTAATGGTGTCATGGCTTTGGATTCATATTCATGAATTCTGACCTCATAGCAGTGGGGGATTGGGTCATAGTGATGAGTTTAGGTCAGGTACAGAGTTTTAGATTTTGCTTGAGCTGATTGCTGTTCAGGTTCTCTGGGACAGAGCCAGGTATGGCGAGCTCTTCAGGTAGATTTATAACCTCTACTGTGCAGAGATGATTCAGAAAAATGGCACACATATCTGCTCTCCTGTCTGCACTCACTCGGAATTATAGAAAACAGACTGTTAGCACATGGCAGTTTCTTTAGGGTAAAAACATGCCAAGATCCTTGAGGAAAATGAGTCTTTTCCTAGACAGAAAAGCAACATAACAGTAAGTGCTTATTTTCAAAGAAATGTAACATTGAAAGTTGAAGACGGGAAAGATATGTAGTCATACGAAATGTCACTAATATTTTATTGATTAAAAAGTTTCATTGGAATGGATCCCAAAAATGTTAGAAAGCGGAGGAAACATTTTTCACATTCAATTCAGAACCTTCAGTAGGATTATATTTTATTGTGTGTGTTTGATAAAATCTTACAGCTTCTCAAAAAAGGTGGTATTGGTGGATAGATATACGCAACAATGGTTTAATTTCTTCCACCTACATTTTATGTGTCCTGTCTCCTATCTGACTATATTTTGGAACTAAGGGACTTACATTTAAAAAATTTTACCATTTGTTTTATTGATTGAATAAAGTATTGTGCTTCCAATTTTCAAAATTAAAAAGCAATATATGTGTGGTGATTTTATATTTATTTCTATAAATACCTCAAGTGTCTGGGAGAAAATAAACTGATGGACATAAAGAATACATTTTAAAAGAGAACTAAGTCCTCTTTATCTGTAAGAAATATAAAGTAGTGGATATTTGAGAACAGAATTAGAATCATCTGGGCAGAATTTTTGGTGTGAATTTTGGCCTTCTTGGATATTTTCTTTACTGGCTACCTGTTTCTCCTGCAAATGATACGCTACCAGGAGGCTGGATTGCTTTACCTGTACCTTTTTCACATTTTGGGAAATTGGACTTTCTTCTGTTTCCTCCTCCCTGTGTGTTTTATTATCTTACTGTACATTTTTTTTCAATTCAACAGCTTTATTGAGGTACAGTTTACATGAAACCTTAACATGAATTGGGTGACTAGTGACTGTAAGTCATGTGATCTTTTTCTTCTATTTTCTGCTTGTTGTGCAGTGAGTTCACATGTCTGTAGACATGCCAGGAAGCACCCGCTTTGATTTTGCCAGGAAGTCACTTGTAAGTGATCCTTCAGGACGAAGGGCCTTGCATTTCACTCCCAGATTGGGCGTCGGGTTAGGCCGAGGATGTGCTCATGGGCCCTGTGGCTGCCTGAGCAGGAGGAAGAGGTTGGAGAGCGGTGGTTATTCCTGCAGGTCAGCTCACGATCCCACACTTTGGAGTGACAAAGGGATGCAAGTTCCCTGTGGGTCGGCTGACACCAAGGAGTGGAAGTCTGAGCCCTCAGCTAGTGTCCCGCTCAGGACAGTGGTCCTGCAGCGGGAGAGCCCTCCAGCAAAGGCTGATGACATTTACAGCTGCTGGGGGTTGAAAGAGGTGAAGGAAGTTAAGCTGAAGGTCGATTCTCTTTCTGTACATATATTTGTGGGCAAGGCCCCCGCAAATGCCCTGAAAAATATCTCCCATGATCCCATGAGAAAGCTAGAATTCCAGGGTCTAATCAGAGAGCAGGTTACCAGTTGACTGTGTGTGTGTGTGTGTGTGTGTGTGTGTGTACATACTTTGACATCTTTCCACGAACCTGGCCTCCTAGCAAGGTTTATTGCCATGAGTAGGGCTGAGTTTGGGGGAAGCAGCAGGTCAGAAGAGGGATATGCAGTTGGAGGCTTTGCAGACTTTATGCCCCGATTCAGAGGACCTCCTCCCCATCAGCCCTGGTGGTGACAAGCCCGAAAAAGAAGGAAGTGAGGAAGAAACCCAGGGCAGGGCTTTGTGTAGGGGGGAGGAGGAGGGAGGGAGAAACTGACTGGTGTTAGTGATGCAGTGCGGCCCTGGGCCTCCCTCCCGGGCTGGCCGGCTCCCAGGATTTTTCAGACACTGAGAAGGATTGAGTCGGGTTGGGAGGCGCAGGGCTCTGTGGTGTTGCTGTGTCCCTCCTGCAGGGGGTCCGCTAGGACCCTGCAGACTGGATGAGGAAACCAGCCCAGTTTGCACCCTTCCTGGGCACTCCTAAGTAATAACTTCCAGAATGTCTTTTCTGGTTTCACACCAAGATAGAAAGATTATTGTGAAAGCTCCAAACATAGAATTAGGCATTATTATGATGAAATAAAACATGCATTTACTGGCTCAAAGAACATACTATGTGTTTTATATTCTGCTATACTTGTGTTACACTGAATACAACCAATTATTACTATTATTTATTATTGATACAATTATGGTTTTAATTAATTAAGCCTTGGGTTCATTAAAAAACGTAAAAAGGAAAGAGCATGAGGCCGTTATGGACTGTATGACTTTTAGGAGTGTGATTATGATGTGCTTTATCTTAGTAAACACAAGTTAATTTCTGACTGAAATCTCTTTTGCATCTTTAGGAGGGAAATTTTTTCCAAATTACCATTTCCCATCTGAAAGATCTGTCATAGTTAACTCGAGGAACCAAGAGTGAACTCTGGGCAGAGCACAAGGGCGTGTGGGGTGCTATCGGTCAGGAAGGAGGCCAGAGGTGAGGAGGCCACAGAACAGAAGCCGGTTCTCAAGGATAAACCCAGGTAAGGAGCATAGCCTTCATCCGGGAGACACTGGTAAGCACTTAAGGGATCATAAATAGACCCGAATTACAGTTCAGCAAGATTTCTGTGCCTACAATGTGGGAAGTAAAGTGCAGACTAAGAGGCATGGAGGCCATGAGGCCTGTGTGATCGATCCTGGAGATAGTGGTGTGGATGGGGACATGTCACTAAGGAGGAAAGCAAGGGGACATATTGAAAGGCTTGGTGTTACAAAGGTGCCAGTTTACAGTCCTACTGAATATGCCAGTGCAGGTGTTATGCAATATAACCAGTATCTGTATACACAAGAGCTAAGCATCAGACTGGCTAAGAACATTAAAACTCATTATAAAGCTATAGTGTGTGAGACATGGTAGTATGAAGACAGAGACAGACAAATAAGCCACTGCAGTGTAACAGGGATCCCAGAAGCAATCCCACCAACATATGGAAACCTGATATGACAGGACTGTTCCTGCTCAGTGGAGAAAAGAAAAAAATGACTATCCATTTGGGAGCATATGGAATTGGACCCCTGCATTCTAAATGCATTAGAGACTTAAATGTGAAACACAAAGCTGTAAAACTTTTTAAATAAGTTATTATTCAGTACATTTGAAGATGTCCACGCCCTGAAGTCTTACCACGTCCACCGTTGGTTATGTGTCGAGCCCTGGAGGAGCCGTGCATCTGAATGGTTATGACATCAGAGTGTATAAGAGCCCAAGTGGGAAACAACCCAAATGTCCATTCACAGAATACAATGTACTATGTTACTCAACAACTAGATTACAGTAGTAAAATCACATCATCACTGAGAGAATTTGGGAGATGTGATGAAATATATATATACATATATATATATGTCAAAATCCATCAAAATTATGTAATTAAAATGGTGCATTTTATTGTATGTATGGTATACCTCAATAAAGTTTACTTGAAAAGGCAAGTGACCTGGGGGCGCCTGGGTGGCTTACTCAGTTGAGTGTCTGACTCTTTTTTTTTTTT